TAAAGACAGTTTATATTATACAGCACATAAAATATAGACAAAATTACTGAATTTAAATACATGCATTTTATACAGTATTTCATTAAAATTCACTGAGAGATATTATCTAGGCTTTACATTTAGGAACTGACAGTAGGTGAAAATGAATCTGAACCATATCTAGAGACCTAAATATTATAGACTTGGAGGAGGGTGCTTTTTTACTGCCTAGCAAATATCTGGAACAGCATACCAGCACCCTAGCAACCACCCAGAACGCCATTGCATTGTGGTGTCAATGTACAGCCATTTATTTCATGCCTGTTTTATCAACAGTACAATCACAGTATGTTGTCCTCATCATTTGCTCCCTTTTGCTTAGTTCTAGCTCTTTCCTTGTGTGAAAGGCAGTACAGAGGTGACGGTTGCTGGGGAGCTTAGAGGAGTTGATTTTGGCTCCGGTGTTGCATGCTTGTTGTTAGCAGTCCAGCCTGAATATGTCTTATGACTCATGTTCATGTTGCAATGAACAGAGCTGAGAAAATATGACAGACTTAATCAGGGAGTAATTTGGCAGGGGTGTGTGTTATGGATGATAGTTGCAAAGACTATTTCTACACTAATTTCTGTATATTTAATCCTATCTGAGATTATTCTTTCTTCAAACACACACATTCATATAGAAGCGGGGGGAAAAAACGCTAAGCGAATCTCACAATAACACGTATGGGTTATATTTCATCTCAAAATCAAAAGGCAAATTATATTTATAAGAAATTATATTTTATTACAGAAAAATCAGCCGAACTAAGATGTTTTACATTGTGACATTAATTTCATGAAAAATAAACACACACACATACATATATATATATAATACATATATTGATATAATACATATCTTGTTTTATAATATCCAATTATAAAATGTTTTTTAATACATGAAATATGTATTAAGATATGCTAAGATAAGATATATATCTTGTTTTATAATATCCAATATAACATCCAATTATAAAATGTTTTCTTAATTTTACCTTTTGATTTTGGGATGAAATATGTCTTAAGATATGTTCTTGATCAACTTTGTAAGATTAACACAAGAACCAACATGATTGAAGATATCAGAAACATGAAAGATAGACTTTACATGCACACAAAGAGCAACAAAAATATTGCGTGTGTGTGACTTGGTAACAGGAAGTATGCCTCAGAGGCCACATGTCCAGTCATGCTGAAGAGTGTGTTTGGTGTATACAGCAGCAGCAGCAGCAGCAGCAGCATAGCAACAGTGCGAGATTGCCTAAGCAAATATTCCCTAATTCTTTGCTCAGCGTTTTAAAAGCTTTTACGTGTGCTGGCAGATGGCAGATGAGATGGAGATTTTCTCAGGGATCTCATCAGCAAATGGGTGTTTTCAAATCTCAGGCCACTCATTACTTAATTCAGCTGAACTCTGAGATCTGTTGGACATGTTTTAGTTTAAATGAAAAAGTAAAGGTCGGTAACCTTATACTGATCTCATTCTCAGTAAGCATAGGATTCAAGCTCCAAGTGTGTTAGCCAGACGAGCTCTATCAGTGACAGTACAAGGGGAGAAGAATGACCACTCGTAGATTAATGAATGGGAGAAATCACAGTGGTCAATACCACTCAGTCCCACCTTTATATTAAAAAGGCAGATCACCTTGTTAACTTGAGTTTTTTAGTATAATGCTCAAGTGCAAACAGGTTTGTTTGTTTTTTAATCGTGGCCAATGGCCATGTTGTTAGAATTCAGTGCTCATTTTAATTTAGAATTTAGTTCAATTGTGGCCTAGATTCCATCGACAGTATACTTGTTCCAGGTTCAGGCCTTCTGGAGTAACCTGAGGTTAAGTTCCTTGCTCAAGGGCACTGGCAATAACTTTACCGAACTCACAGAAAACTTTAACACCACTCTGCTGATGCCTTGCGAGCACTGGTGTTTCCTTCGGGAAATGCAAATTTAGTTTGTAAATATGTGTGTTTGTAGAGTCACTACTGAATAGTGTATGAGAGCAGAGAGGACAACAGAAGGCTTTTAGCACCCGTGTGTAGATGCTGAAGCCTGTAAACTATTTAATCACACTCAGTGCTTCAGAGACTGTCTGGCCAGTGTGCCACATTCATTTGTGTTATCGAGTGTGTGCTGTAGCCTTAATTCATCTCCTGCTAATCACAGTATGTGCAGCACTCCATCATTAAACATGCCATCATCTGACATATACTTGATGTATAAACAAATGCACACTCGTGAACATACACTTGGAAATGTTAAATGTTAGACTTAAAGCAACAAACACAGTTTCACTATGCAGCCTGGAATTATAAAATCACACCGTGTTCGTTTGCTCAGGCCAAAGGAGAACCGGACTTCCTACTGAGCCTGGTTTCTCCTACACTCTTAAAAATAAAGGTGCTTCAAAAGGTTCTTCAAGCAATGCCATAGAAGAACCATTTTTGGTTCCACAAAGAACCATTCAGTCAAAAGTTCTTTAAAGAACCATCTCTTTCTTACCTTTTTGTAATCTGAAGAACCTTTTTTCACCACAAAGAACCTTTTGTGAAACAGAAAGGTTCTTCAGATGTTAAAACTTGATCTGACTTGAACGGAGCTGAATACTTACACTATTGTCTTCTGTAGAGCTGCTTTACAGCTGAATCAAATTTATTTCATAATTGATGAATTTTGCGACATTTACACTGAACTGAATTGAATCAACACTGAATTGACTCGAGCTTAATAACGACACTACTGTCTTCTGTAGAATTGCTTAAAGCTGAATCAAATTCATTATATAACTGATGAATTTTGCAACTTCGACAATTGAATGGGAGAAATCACAGTGGTCAATACCACTCAGTCCCACCTTTATATTAAAAAGGCAGATCACCTTGTTAACTTGAGTTTTTTAGTATAATGCTCAAGTGCAAACAGGTTTGTTTGTTTTTTAATCGTGGCCAATGGCCATGTTGTTAGAATTCAGTGCTCATTTTAATTTAGAATTTAGTTAAATTGTGGCCTAGATTCCATCGACAGTATACTTGTTCCAGGTTCAGGCCTTCTGGAGTAACCTGAGGTTAAGTTCCTTGCTCAAGGGCACTGGCAATAACTTTACCGAACTCACAGAAAACTTTAACACCACTCTGCTGATGCCTTGCGAGCACTGGTGTTTCCTTCGGGAAATGCAAATTTAGTTTGTAAATATGTGTGTTTGTAGAGTCACTACTGAATAGTGTATGAGAGCAGAGAGGACAACAGAAGGCTTTTAGCACCCGTGTGTAGATGCTGAAGCCTGTAAACTATTTAATCACACTCAGTGCTTCAGAGACTGTCTGGCCAGTGTGCCACATTCATTTGTGTTATCGAGTGTGTGCTGTAGCCTTAATTCATCTCCTGCTAATCACAGTATGTGCAGCACTCCATCATTAAACATGCCATCATCTGACATATACTTGATGTATAAACAAATGCACACTCGTGAACATACACTTGGAAATGTTAAATGTTAGACTTAAAGCAACAAACACAGTTTCACTATGCAGCCTGGAATTATAAAATCACACCGTGTTCGTTTGCTCAGGCCAAAGGAGAACCGGACTTCCTACTGAGCCTGGTTTCTCCTACACTCTTAAAAATAAAGGTGCTTCAAAAGGTTCTTCAAGCAATGCCATAGAAGAACCATTTTTGGTTCCACAAAGAACCATTCAGTCAAAAGTTCTTTAAAGAACCATCTCTTTCTTACCTTTTTGTAATCTGAAGAACCTTTTTTCACCACAAAGAACCTTTTGTGAAACAGAAAGGTTCTTCAGATGTTAAAACTTGATCTGACTTGAACGGAGCTGAATACTTACACTATTGTCTTCTGTAGAGCTGCTTTACAGCTGAATCAAATTTATTTCATAATTGATGAATTTTGCGACATTTACACTGAACTGAATTGAATCAACACTGAATTGACTCGAGCTTAATAACGACACTACTGTCTTCTGTAGAATTGCTTAAAGCTGAATCAAATTCATTATATAACTGATGAATTTTGCAACTTCGACAATGAATTGAACCGGCATTGAACTAACTCAAGCTGAATAATGACACTACCGCCTTCTGTAGAGCTACTTACAGCTGAATATTCATTCAACCTTCAGCGAGTCCATTCATTGTTGATTCAATTCAGTTATAACATGTTGATGTTGCAAAATGTCAATTATGAACAAATCGACACTGAATTTAAATGAAATAAATCAACATGAAAGTGGCTTGCTGAATACTAACACTATTGTCTTCTGTACATTCGCTTATAGCTGAATCAATCATTTTGCAGCATCAACATTATTAAACTGAATTGAATCAACACCGTACTGACTCAGCAGAATAATGACACTATTATCTTCTGGAGAGGTGCTTATAGCTGAATTGAATGTGTTTCATAATTGATGAACTTTACACAGTTATTGAACTGAACTAACACTGAACTGACTTATGAAATAATGTCATTATTAATTAGTAATATTGTCTTTTTAGAGCTTCTATACAGCAGAATTTGAATTTGTTTAATATTTTCCTGATTAATATTGTGATACAGCTTTGAAACAATCCGTATTGTATGAAATGTTAAATAAATTAAGGCTTCAATATGAAAATACTGAGGTCCAGTGAAAATACTAATTTTGCATTTTTCAATTAATAAGTTTGCATTATTCAATGTTTTTTTTACATTACTGTGAATGTTTTAGATAGTTAACCTCATACTCTAAAATTCAATATGTAGTGATTACCATATTCATATTTACATGATATTTAAAACATTACCATGGTCCAAAAGCATGGTAATATAAAGTTTGGCTAAGAGGCAACACTAATATTTCATTTTTTGACTATCAATTGCTTCTGTTCTACTACATGCATTAACCTGTAGCATCTAACTAACACTGTCTATATTTCCCAACTTTGCAATCAAAAATGAAGCCATGAACTCTCTTTTATCTCTCTTTTAAAGGGGTGCGTTTTCAGAGGTGGTCCTGGCAGAGGAGAGGTCCACGGGAAAGATGTTCGCTGTGAAGTGCATCCCTAAAAAAGCACTGAAGGGGAAGGAGAGCAGCATCGAGAATGAGATTGCCGTTCTACGCAAGTGAGTTCCATTTCCCGCACCTCACTCCCGTATCACACCTGTACCCATGGCAACAGCATCACCTGTCTCTTCCACACTCATTCCCTCAGTTTGCCAGTTGATAGGAGCTTGTTTGCCTGAGGTTTGACCTCCAGTTACCGTGGTAACTCCGGTGCCCTTGTCCAATTACAGCAGGGAAGCTCCCGCAGATGTTCTCTCTTCGTGATGCCGCATGCGTGCGAACTGTGTCCATGAATGTGGACAGAGGCTTTGACTGTGTTTAGAATGAAAAATAAGTGCATGCTTACTGCATACTGAATGCACAGTATATAGCTTAGCTATTAGTTTTAAAAGATAGTATATGCAGCAATAAACATGAGTATAGTACATACAATCTTTGCTATAAATCCAATTTTGTGTAAAAAATTCTGTAATTTCAAGTAATTTAGTCCAATCTCACACTGCCTTTCAAAGATTTTTTTTGTTATTTTATTCAGTAAGGATACATTAAATTGATCTATATTTTGATATCATATTTGGAATAAATCCAATTTTATGTAAAAAAAGAAAAAAATCTGCAATTTCAGCCAGTTTTCGTCCAATCACACACTACCATTTAACAGTTTGGGGTGTAACCAACGTAACTAAGTGTAAACAACGCTGATTACGCAGATTGCATTCATGTGTGCGCTTTCTCCCCCGAAAGTAAACAACGCTAATTACGTCAATTACGCTCTTGGGTACTCTCCAAAATGGCGGAAGACGTAACTCGGTGGAGAAGAATTGTTAAATAAATTGTTATTTTTGTTTTCTTTGCGCTCAAAAAGTATTCTCGTAGCTTCGCAAAACTGAAGTTGAGCCACTGATGTCACATGGACTGCTTTACCGATGTCCTTACTATGTTTCTGGACCTAGGAACATTACAGTTGCGTTGCTGTCTATGCAGGGTCTGAGAGCTCTCACATTTCAACAAAAATATCTCAATTTGTACTCTGAAGATGAACGAAAGTCTTACAGGTTTGGAACGACATGAGGATGAGTAATTAATGACAGAATTTTCATTTTGGGGTGAACTAACCCTTTAATGTGCCCACTCTAGCTTAAAGAAAGCAGAGCAAACCAAACTCTCACATAAAAGCAACAAGCTTAACATGTTTCTCAGGTATTTTCCCACCGTCGGTGCAAATGTAAGCAGGTGTGTTCGGTGTAGGGCTGGGTATCGAGTTCGATACTTTTTAGGCACTGACTGAAATGCCTCGATACCATCAAGTATTGAAAATGTTTCATCGTTCGGTACCAAATTTTGATACCTAAGGGGTTAATCTCATCAGCGTCAGTGAGCCAATAAGCCTGCAGCACTAGCCCGGTGTGTTCGATTAGTGGCGCGGCGCAGATCGACATCCGCGAGAGCGATTCGAAAGCGCACGGAGCAGTCTGCTCTCTTTAGCTCTCGTGGTACTGTAATACACCGATCGGTCTGCACAGTCAGTCCGCGTCAAGTCGAACACACCTACTAGTTAACACTGGTTACACTCAGAGATGTGGCGCACACGTGAGGCTGTAGTGTGAATGTGTGCGTTTCTCCAGCCTATCTAACGAAACATCGCGCGGAGCAGAGGATGGTTTGAAAAAGTTTTTAATCTGTGCCAACTCATGTCATGCATAGTCAGTGGATTCACATATTGATCAATAATATAAAATATACAAGTGTGTGATTATAATTAATAAACTGACGTGAGAAGTAGCAAAAATATTTTGGGTGAGCCGTTCTGGGTCTCGGAGACCCCAGCTAGAACATGATAAAATGCAATAGAGGTGTGACGTGCATTCAGTTTCTGTCTGGTGTTGAGGTTATTCTAAACTATTCTACTGAATCCCAAATAAGTGTACACACACACACACACACACACACACAACCAAGTCAATGTAAAGTCAAACACACGAGTCATGCGAAGTGCCGATTTTTTTCAAACCAGCTGTCCCGTACTGCATGACGTTCGAAGCTTCAAACGTCATCAATCACGTGGTATTGTCATTTCGATACAAGCATCGGCACAGTGTGTGATACAATAGTGCTTTGAAAACTGCATCGGAGCCTCGGTATCAATCGTCCCATCTCTACCTTTGAGTCAGAGCAGCGATCATGGAAGATGGAACACAAGCAGGTTTGACCTCCAGTTACCGTGGTAACTCCGGTGCCCTTGTCCAATTACAGCAGGGAAGCTCCCGCAGATGTTCTCTCTTCGTGATGCCGCATGCGTGCGAACTGTGTCCATGAATGTGGACAGAGGCTTTGACTGTGTTTAGAATGAAAAATAAGTGCATGCTTACTGCATACTGAATGCACAGTATATAGCTTAGCTATTAGTTTTAAAAGATAGTATATGCAGCAATAAACATGAGTATAGTACATACAATCTTTGCTATAAATCCAATTTTGTGTAAAAAATTCTGTAATTTCAAGTAATTTAGTCCAATCTCACACTGCCTTTCAAAGATTTTTTTTGTTATTTTATTCAGTAAGGATACATTAAATTGATCTATATTTTGATATCATATTTGGAATAAATCCAATTTTATGTAAAAACTCTCACATAAAAGCAACAAGCTTAACATGTTTCTCAGGTATTTTCCCACCAATTTGTACTCTGAAGATGAACGAAAGTCTTACAGGTTTGGAACGACATGAGGATGAGTAATTAATGACAGAATTTTCATTTTGGGGTGAACTAACCCTTTAATGTGCCCACTCTAGCTTAAAGAAAGCAGAGCAAACCAAACTCTCACATAAAAGCAACAAGCTTAACATGTTTCTCAGGTATTTTCCCACCGTCGGTGCAAATGTAAGCAGGTGTGTTCGGTGTAGGGCTGGGTATCGAGTTCGATACTTTTTAGGCACTGACTGAAATGCCTCGATACCATCAAGTATTGAAAATGTTTCATCGTTCGGTACCAAATTTTGATACCTAAGGGGTTAATCTCATCAGCGTCAGTGAGCCAATAAGCCTGCAGCACTAGCCCGGTGTGTTCGATTAGTGGCGCGGCGCAGATCGACATCCGCGAGAGCGATTCGAAAGCGCACGGAGCAGTCTGCTCTCTTTAGCTCTCGTGGTACTGTAATACACCGATCGGTCTGCACAGTCAGTCCGCGTCAAGTCGAACACACCTACTAGTTAACACTGGTTACACTCAGAGATGTGGCGCACACGTGAGGCTGTAGTGTGAATGTGTGCGTTTCTCCAGCCTATCTAACGAAACATCGCGCGGAGCAGAGGATGGTTTGAAAAAGTTTTTAATCTGTGCCAACTCATGTCATGCATAGTCAGTGGATTCACATATTGATCAATAATATAAAATATACAAGTGTGTGATTATAATTAATAAACTGACGTGAGAAGTAGCAAAAATATTTTGGGTGAGCCGTTCTGGGTCTCGGAGACCCCAGCTAGAACATGATAAAATGCAATAGAGGTGTGACGTGCATTCAGTTTCTGTCTGGTGTTGAGGTTATTCTAAACTATTCTACTGAATCCCAAATAAGTGTACACACACACACACACACACACACACAACCAAGTCAATGTAAAGTCAAACACACGAGTCATGCGAAGTGCCGATTTTTTTCAAACCAGCTGTCCCGTACTGCATGACGTTCGAAGCTTCAAACGTCATCAATCACGTGGTATTGTCATTTCGATACAAGCATCGGCACAGTGTGTGATACAATAGTGCTTTGAAAACTGCATCGGAGCCTCGGTATCAATCGTCCCATCTCTACCTTTGAGTCAGAGCAGCGATCATGGAAGATGGAACACAAGCAGACAGCGCTGGAAACTGCTAATGCTCATCAGTAAATCAGTGGAAAATAAATAGAAATCATGATTCTGTCTGAGCTATGCGTTTTATAACGAACACTCAGGAGATAAGTCTTTGAGTTCGTATAAACATCAACAAGCTGAAAAATAAAACCAAAGTTTTTCTTTTTAGATAATGTAATCTTGTTAAAATTGATATCGGAAAAAAGTATCGTTCAGGAACCGGTATCGGTATTGATATCGAAAATTTTTGAACGATACCCAGCCCTAGTTCAGTGTGTGTGACATATGGTGTGTGATGGGTGTTTCCTCTGAGATTCATCAAAAAGGCTGCCTCTGATTCTGACATGGACTTCTGTTGTCACGGCGATCGTACCCTGGAGATTGGATGCACAGTTTTATCCTTCTGGTCTCAGTCTCCCTCATCTCATATCATAGCAACCAAATGATTGACAGCTTGTCTGCCATCTCCTGGGTGATGCCATAGGCCTGTAATTAGATAGAGCGAGCGCACGCACAAGCCAAAGAACAAGAGTGTGTTCATTCCTTCATTGTCTGTTTGTCTTGCCTGCATATGTATTTCAGAACGAGTGAAAGATATTTCCTTCGCATCTACAAATGAGACAATGAGATGCCCTCATAGGTTAGAGTTTAATCTTCACAATACCTGCAGAGAATCGCTAACGTACACTCCCGGCATGCCTCAGAGTCATGCTTAATACTTAAGTCAATTCAATTTATCCAGACATGGGACTCTCTAACCCAGAGGGAAAATGTTATTGCTCAAAGGCTGCTCTTTCATAGCTCACGAGACATAATTGAGTTGAGCATGATGTGAAGTTTCCAATCAGTGGAAAATAAATAGAAATCATGATTCTGTCTGAGCTATGCGTTTTATAACGAACACTCAGGAGATAAGTCTTTGAGTTCGTATAAACATCAACAAGCTGAAAAATAAAACCAAAGTTTTTCTTTTTAGATAATGTAATCTTGTTAAAATTGATATCGGAAAAAAGTATCGTTCAGGAACCGGTATCGGTATTGATATCGAAAATTTTTGAACGATACCCAGCCCTAGTTCAGTGTGTGTGACATATGGTGTGTGATGGGTGTTTCCTCTGAGATTCATCAAAAAGGCTGCCTCTGATTCTGACATGGACTTCTGTTGTCACGGCGATCGTACCCTGGAGATTGGATGCACAGTTTTATCCTTCTGGTCTCAGTCTCCCTCATCTCATATCATAGCAACCAAATGATTGACAGCTTGTCTGCCATCTCCTGGGTGATGCCATAGGCCTGTAATTAGATAGAGCGAGCGCACGCACAAGCCAAAGAACAAGAGTGTGTTCATTCCTTCATTGTCTGTTTGTCTTGCCTGCATATGTATTTCAGAACGAGTGAAAGATATTTCCTTCGCATCTACAAATGAGACAATGAGATGCCCTCATAGGTTAGAGTTTAATCTTCACAATACCTGCAGAGAATCGCTAACGTACACTCCCGGCATGCCTCAGAGTCATGCTTAATACTTAAGTCAATTCAATTTATCCAGACATGGGACTCTCTAACCCAGAGGGAAAATGTTATTGCTCAAAGGCTGCTCTTTCATAGCTCACGAGACATAATTGAGTTGAGCATGATGTGAAGTTTCCAGTCATAAATGTTTCAGTCCACACTGAAATTGTAAATGCTGCATAAAGCAATAGTCACAGTCGATCAAGCAATAGTAGGATTATGGACCAATGAGATTTCATGGTGGGAGTGGCTACCCAGCACAGCATCACTTGCCAAAAACTAAGATTTACATGGAAGAGATCGCTTTTGTTACTTGTTTTGTTTAAATATCAGCTTTTGTCTTAGATGTTTCTCCTAAAATTTCTTAGGAGACGCAAGAACAGAAACAAAAGAGATATCATTTTCATACAATTTGACATAATAAAAGTGCGTACCACTTTTATTAAGATAATTTAATAATATACTTTAGAATATATTTAAGTGCAAACTCAATGTAATGTTTTCAGACACTTAATTGCAATTAAAAGAAAATGTAATGCAGTTTAAATATACATTCATTGCAATTAGCTGAACTTTAGAGTGCGTTTTGACCCACTTGAGTAGCACTTAAGTGCATCTTTATATGTTAATTCATAATTATATTGTCTTTGAAATATGTTTATACTGTACAGCTGAATTTAATGATAAGGATTTATTTAAAATACACTTTAATGTTGTTTGTATTGATTGTCTTTGTGATGCATTTAAATATGTAATGAAGTTGCAATTTAGTACATTTAAAATATATTAACTTTAAAAGTAATATCGAATAACACTACAGTTAAAATCATAGTCAAGTATTTTTTTTGTTAGTCAACACCTCATTTTTAAAACATACTGATTTAAAATGTACTTAAAACTTTGAATGTGACATTTTTACAAAGTGTACTTTTTAAAAGCGTGTTTAGAAACAAGAAGCAAGTACAGTTTAAAAAATATACTTGAATGTTTGGAACAGTACAAGTTCTTTGAGGTTTTGTTTTTTGAGGTCTCAAGAGACTTTGTTATCTTGGTAAATCTGAGGACAGAAGATATTGTCCTGGGTATTGTTCCTTTAAAAAATAAATCAGAAGAAGCAGCTCTCCAGTTAATCTCATTTCTGTCTTGGAGAAGCAATTGAGACATTAGTTTGCCCAAAATGACAGGCTTGGAACAAGTGGAGGGTGAGTAAATGATGACAGAATGTAAATTTTTGGGTGAACTATCCCTTTTAAAAAATATCTAATTTGTGTATTTACTTTAATGAGAATGAGTCTCACTCCACATCAGATAATGTAAACGCTTCTGAAGTGAATTGGCTATCACTTAAAAGCACCTGGCACAAAAGAAAGCGAGACTCAGCTTTCAGTGGTAAATAGCTAGTGATTCTACCTTTTGTATTGTTAAATGATTTCTTTTTATTGACACTCAGTAGTGTTTTTTAGTGAAATAATGGAATAGAGAGCGTTTTTGGTTCCTCTTTCTGCTTTCACCCCTATTCCTTAGTGCTTTTTCCTCTTGAATCAAAAGAGAAGATGGTTTCAGAGGCACCGAATGAGTCGTGCTACAGCTTCTGCCCACTCACTGCTGAAGGAGAGAGAGAGAAACAGAGGGAAGAAGAAAGGAATGCATGAAAGAGGGATATTAAGCCAGTGAATGGCTTTGTAATCCTCCAGCAGACGAGTTTTCCAGAATCAGTTTTGAAAAATCAATATGTCAGAGGGTGAATCGACCTACAGGTTTTGTTTAAGAAAAGGCAGAGCATGTCTTTGTTTATTCATGTGTTTCCAAAGCTAATGTTTTAATCTGCTGCATCAGAGGTGACTCCCAGTTCATTGAATCGTGAATCGATATGAAACCACTCGACGAAACCACTAAATAAATCACTTGCTCTCAGATTTATCCATACCTCAGTAGCTCTTAAATATTAAACTACAATACAAGGAGCATTACTGACAAAAACAAACGCCTGCTGGCTGCTTGGAGGCGTTTTACTTGTCTTTTATTCTGTGTTTCACCGAACCAAAACCTTTTTCTGTTTTATCTGGGCTCAGATAGCGGTGAGCACCAATGAACGGGCTGTTTCTGAGATGATTGCCCCTTACCTGTGAGGATCAACCTTTTGTGAACATAATATGGATGAACAAAGAGAGTTAATTATAGGAAACTGAGGTGGGGGGGGGGAAACAAATGTGTTATCTGCACTCATCGATGTCCATTATGAGCGTGTGTGAGCGCGTGAGTCTTGTTATTGTCCACTCACTTGCGTCATTGCCCAGCCTGTTATCATGTGCCAGTTGGACTCGCTGATCAGAATTCACTAAAAATGCAACACTAATGTGTATACACACAGCCGCCGTGACTGTGTTACCATGACAAGAGGAGGGAGAGATGTTAACTGCAGGGATGGAGAGGGGGAAGGAGTGGAGAAGAAAAACAAAACAAAAAATTGCCAGTTGATATGACAGAGATAAAAAGGCCACTTTTTTAAAGCAGACACCCTAACAGCATCCAATAGATGACAACAATTAGACTAGCTGTGCATCTAAATGCTTTAGCATCTTCAAAAGCCATTTATTCATTTGTTCTGGCAATATCTTGTATATGCATACAAATGTAAATTAAATTAAACTGTTATTTACCTTAAACTGAAATGCGTGTACAAATATGTATATATGTGTGTATTGACTCTTAATTTCAATTATAAAAGCATACATGCTATTGTATGCAACTTCAAAGCATAAAACATGGCAGTGTTTATTGTACATTTTATGGGCTTATGGAAATGTGCGCCACTGAAGTATTCATATGCTTATGAGAAGATCCAGAATATTCCACTCTCTTAAATTAACTTTCTAAATAAACCCAGAGGCAAAGTGTGCCAGATTGCAGCAAATACATGCACAAAAATAAACCCTAAACGCATTTATTTAAAATTGCAATTTGGAAGATTGAATAATTCAATACAAAATTGTCTCCCTTACAACTAATATATATATATATATATATATATATATATATATGTTATATGGATTTTTTTTGCGATTTATCAAATTTTTTTTAACTGTTTTACACAAAATTGTCTCCCTTACAGCTGAGCCTATATATGTATACACACTGTGTATATACTGTATATATATAGGAATATATATATTTAGCAATTTATCAATGATTTTTAACTGTTTTACACCATTTGAATATACATAAATATACATAATTTTGGTCTTGTTTCCATTCAGATGGAAAGATAAACATATTGACATATGTCTCTGATATGAATACATATCTGGTATTAATGATGTTGCCAAATTGTACATTTAAGTGAGCTTTATGCATTTTGTTTTGCAGAATTAAGCATGAGAACATAGTGGCGCTGGAGGACATCTATGAAAGCTCCAATCACCTCTACCTTATAATGCAGCTGTGAGTATGTTACATGCTTACACAATTACTCACAATGCATTGTGCTCATGTCTTTCTATTCATTCTGTACACATTTTAACAAACAAATACCCAGTTATTTGCTTATGCACACCTTTCAAAAGTTTGGGGTTGGTAAGATTTGTAAGCAGTTGTGCTGCTTAATATTTTTGTGGAAACCATGTTACAGTTTTTTCAGGATTCTTTAATGAATACAAATCTCAAAAGAACAGCCTTTATTTGAAATAGAAATCTTGGTTACACTTTATCTTAAGGTGTCCTTGTTCCAGTGTAATTATATTACACATGTACTTACTACATGGTTAGGGTTTGGATTACGGTTTGGTTTAGGGTTACTTGCATGTAATTATGTGTAAATAATTGTTATTATAATAGTAAGTTACATGTAACATATGTAACAAGAACACCTTAAAATAAAAAGTGTTACCGAAATATTTTGAAACATTATAAATGTCTTTAGTATCACATTTGATGGTGTCTGTGATCCATGTTTTTCAGTCATGTCAGAATTGAGTGAACTATGACTTTATTATATTACCACCCACATCGTCATCACCTTATCAGTATTCAGCAACCCAGCGGGGGCATCGCTAACTCATTTCACATGCGAAGAGGTTAGTCTGTCGTAAGAGAGGTAATTTACATATCGAAGTCTTAAAAGTACAGTAACAAAAAAGGCCTGTTTGATTCAAAGGCTCAGAGAGAGGGCGGAAAGTGATCACGTAAAACTAAATTACCACAAGAAACCTGGACAGACATGAAATGAAAAAAAAAGAAATGAAAGTACAAGAATATAAGCATAAGACAAATTCAAAACAGCTCTGATGCTCATTTTATGCAATCCTCAAGACATTTCTGCACTTAAAAACACTGTATTTTGTGTTTTTACTCTTTGATTAAACAGCAGTTGACAGTCTGACCTCTTGCTCAAGTATTAAAGTGACTTCTGTACGGTCTTTCACTTCAGCTCGGTTTCGATGAGCTTAATGTTCTGACACATGAATGCGCAAAAATGTATCTGTAAAGTGATAAGAAAAAAGGATGGTAGGCCGCGACCCAGATCACGGTGAACTGGAAGATGAAGAATGCAGATCTGGACAGAGCGGAAGAGAGAGGGTGGCAGTCTGGTGGGTTGGCTGAGCACTGCTGTATGCTGACATAGAAGCGTTGCATAACATCGGTGATGGGTAGCAGAATGTGCATGTCTGTCCAACACTGCAATCACACACACACCTAATGTAAGGGGAGCATGTAGTGTGTGTATCATATGCATTTAAAGAAAAAAAAGCACCATCTCTTGCTATTAAACAAATATGGCCTGAAAGACGATTTACTGCATCAGAGCAGTGTGTTTTCAGAGCATGTTAAAGTTGGTTATTAGTGATGTATGTTAGGCATTGAAATGGCATTAGCAATTTTCCTTCTATAATGTGACATTTATTATTTTTTTTAATACTTTCATTCAGCAAGGATGCATCAAAAGTGTCAGTAAAGACATGTATAATGTTTCAAACGATTATCATTTCAAATAAATGCTGTTCTTTTGAGATTTATAATAATCAAAAATCCTGAAAAAAGTATCAGTTTCCACAAAAATAGCACAAAAGCAACAGAAGCAGCACAACTGTTTTCAACATCGACAATAATCAGAAATGTTTCTTGAGCAGCAAATCAGCATATTAGGCTGAATTCTGAAGGGTCATGTGACACTGAAAACTGGAGATGCTGAAAATTCAGCTTTGCATCACAGGAATAAATTCCATTTTAAAATATATACAAATAGAAAACAGTTATTTTAAATTATAATATTTCACAATAATGTGTTTTTTTTGTATTTGTGATCAAATAAATGCAGACATGGTGAATTTTAGGTGTTACATTGTTACATAACTTGACACAGAAATGGTAAAGAAGTGATTTTTTATGCTAAAACCATGTTAACATGCATATTTGTTACATCTTGTGGCTGTACTATGGAAATAGTGAGTATTTTCATGTTTACAGATTTGCCTGATTCACTTCCATTACCTCACTGTAATTCAGATTTTAGCGTTTTTTTTGTTTAGTTTTTTTAAGAAAAAGAGGGATGAACCCCCAATTGTTTTTTGTGGCAATCAACATTATGCCACAAGTGCTGTAGATTGAGCTTAACTTGTATTAAACCTGGAATAATAATTTACATAGAGGTCATTTATGATGTTGCTTCCCTGTGGGTTGTCTATTCGAAAACTCGAATGATTGTCCATATATGTAGATAAGAAAAGTGAGTGCATGGGCTGCTTTATCCATCAGGAATTGACTTGATTGTGTAAAGTGGTTTCTATGACAGGTGGTTGCAGCAGAAGGGTTCAGGAAATTCGGTTCAGGGACGGAGCACGTTATTACATTTTCATGAGAGATTACAAAGACAACAGCATAAACGGGGTCAATTCTGATTTAATTTCAACTTTAAATACTGATGATGTGGAGATGAGAGGAAGCTAGGCAGATTAGAGGAAACAAACATTTATTTTCATCCTCATTTTGCCCCTGGAAGCCGCATTAGAATTTGAATTCCACATTGTTAATTTGATATTTGGCCGGGAGCCTGCCCCTCTTTTCCCTGTTAATAGGTTGTGCCGAGTGCATGTGTGTGTTACGGAAAAAAACATGAAGAACATTTTGGCATATGGTGTTGAGATGAATATTTAAACAGTACCAATCTGCTTTCTGTATGATCTGACAGATGCAGTTTAGAAACTCTTTTCATAATTCACTCTTCATGTAAGTGTGTGCAAGTGTGATTCAATCAGATATGGACTGTTTTCTTCATGCATGTTAGACCCTCAGGCACTACTGCACTGTATGACATGATTTACGGCAGTGGAACGAGAGAAATGAGGACTAGATGAGGACAGAGAGAGGGGCGGACTAGGGGCATCTGCACACTGCAGCAGAGAGCGCTGTGAATCCATTGACTACAATTGAGATGGTGCATCATAAGGACGTAAAGCAGGAGTGTTCAATTAAAGTCCAAAAGGTTTCCTTCACTGCAAAGGTCCATATAACCATACCTTACACTGTCAGGAGCCAATAAGGCTTGGAAATTAAATAAGCAATGTGCATTGGAGGAACATGTATTACAAATTGTCAGGTTGGCAGCAGTAGTACTCTGTAAAAATAAGAAAGAATCCTACATACCCTCTTATAAATAAAGGTTCCAAAATGGATCTTTTTCACAATGATGCCATAGAAGAACAATTTTTGGTTCCCCAAAAACCTTTTAGTGAACAGTTCTTAAAAGAATATTTTTTTTCTTAGTGTGAAGAATGTCTTAATAACCTGAAGAACCTTTTTCCATTATATGGAACCTTTTGTCCAATGGAAAGGTTTCATGGATGTTACAAGTTCTTAAGTCAGTGCCAATAAAGAACTTTTATTTTTAAGAGTGTAGTCAAAATAGTCTCCTCAAAACTGCTGCTTCGTCCAATATACACAAATGTGCATTTGCTACCTTAAAGGGGTCATATGATACGATTTCAAGTTTTCCTTTCTCTTTGGAGTGTTACAAGCTGTTCTTGCATAGATAAGATCCCTAAAGTTGCAAAGACTAATGTCTCAAACCCAAAGAGATATTCTTTATAAAAGTTAAGTTAAAAAAGTTAAAACGCCTCGTTCTAACACGCCCCCACATGTCTACGTCACGATGTGGGAAAATTTGCATAACACCGCCCAAATGTTCATGCAAAGAAAGAAGGCGTAACTTTATTGTTGCTGCCACCGCCGCCGCCATGTTGTGAAGACGCTGTGCGTTTTCGTTGCGAAAGCGAAAATATTTTGTTTGGCCTTCCAAAAGAGGACACGACTAGAAATCAGCGGTTAAGTTGTATTTACAACACTGTTCCAGAACAGTTCAACCCAAATATTCAGATGTGTGCAGCACATTTTATGGAGGGCTGTTTCCTGATCCTGCGAGAGTAGACTACAATTCCGGCTGTTCTGACACACAGTCTGTAAGTTAAGTATGTTTTCATATTTAAAGAATTTGCCACTGATGACTCGAACGCGAGTTTTGAGCAGTGTAGAGTAGCGCTTGTTGTTTGTCATTTGTCCAATCCCAAATGCAGACATGGTTTTATGTTTACGCAGCGCGATGCAACGCAATGCGTAAAAAGACAGTATAAGTCATTATAATCCGTAATTATGTCCCCACTGGATGCAACAAATGCCTCGTTTATAATGGGTTTTAATGTTTTTGTCTCGTCGCTCCGGGACGCGGCATCACAGTATGGTAAGGGGCAGGGTTGCCAGGTTTTCACAAGAAAGCCCGCCCAATCGCTACTCAAAACTAGCCCAATCGCGTTTCGAGGGGGTACAAATCGCATTCCAAGGGGTAAAATACACGTTTTTTGGCGGGGTTCCCCTGCTAAAATTCGCATTCCAGGGGATAAATATCATGTTATTGGAGTTGCTTCAACCCGCGGCAACAGTGTTAAAGTAGCCCAACTTGGCAACACTGGAGAGGGGCATAACATTTCCGTCACACGCTTGAGGTATTCGGCCAATCACAATGCACTGGATAGCTGGCCAATCAGAGCACACCTCGCTTTTCAGACCGATGAGCTTTGCAAAAATCAACGTGTTTCAGAAAGGAGGGGCATAGAGGAGAAACAATAATGTACAGTATGTGGAAAATAATGTATTTTTTGAACCTTAAACCGCATAAACACATTTCATTACACCAAATACACAAAATAATGTTATTTTTAGCAACATCATATGATCCCTTTAAGGAGCTATTTCTAGATCAACTTGATTTTCAACAGAAATTGGTTTTCATGGGCAATTTTACTCATAAATGTTAGCTTTGCTTCAACTGTGTCCTACATATAGATCAAAACAAAGGATAAATTAGGCGTCAAGAAACTCTTAATAGTTATTTAATGCATATTTTGTGTGTGTATATGCATCAATGGACAATGCATAAAATTTTTTGAGGCACTCATCAAAGACTATAAACAAAAGCGATTGTATCTCCATCCAGAAGGGGGCGATATAGTCTTAGTAGTTTGAAAACAACCCCTGCTCAGACCACACCAAGTCCATCCTCAGACTTTCAGTAAGCATTAATGTGCTCTGAAAAGCTGGAACTGCACTAATGCACATGTCTGCACTCTCCGGCTTTGAGCTTAAATTTGCCTAATTGCTAATGCAGGTGTATGAGATCAAGAGGCCAAACGTCATTGAGTTCTTTGCAGAGGCTCTATTGTGTGACCGCTTGGTCTCTGCACTTACAGGGACAAGATAAAGTAATTTTTCCCCCTGTATTCAGATCAGTTCTGCACTGTGGGGGGTTGGTCTGATCAGATTCGACATGCAGCTCCCCCTACAGGGGAGTTCATATCAGTTACAGTCCTGCAATTGTACTGTATACTATGAGACACATTACTGCTAATGTTTTAATATGTAATTAAACATTTAAATTTATATATTATATTAATATAGAATTAGTTTTTTAGTGGTCTCTCTCTCACTTTGTCTATTTCCAGTGTGTCTGGAGGCGAGTTGTTTGACCGGATCGTGGAGAAAGGTTTCTACACTGAGAAAGATGCCAGTACACTTATCAGACAAGTACTTGATGCTGTAAACTACCTCCACAATATGGGCATCGTACACAGAGATCTAAAGGTGAGCGAAACACACCACATTCACAGTTCTGCTCTGGTTTGATATGTTTGATTTCAATATGAGTGCGTTTTCTCTCTTCAGCCAGAGAATCTGCTCTATTTCAACCCTCAAGATGGCTCAAAGATCATGATCAGTGATTTCGGTCTGTCTAAGATGGAGGGGACAGGTGATGTCATGTCCACAGCCTGTGGAACACCGGGATACGTGGGTAAGTGTTTAAATATGAAAGCGAAATTGAGAAGTTTATGATTTTGTCTATTGAAGATGTGATTGTTCATATACTGTATATACAAATGTGTGTATATTTTAGCTGTTGGAAAGTGACTGCATGGGATGCATGTGTTGGTTCATTTGTGTGCGGCCTATATCTGCACTTGAAGCTTATTCTTATCTCAGACTGACAGAACTGCCCCAGAGTCGCCTGCTTTTCCCCTGCGATTAGAGCGACTGCAACACTCTGAGCCATCATGGCTGTATGTGATGCTGCATGTGAAATAAACACACACAGACTGGGTACAGACATCTTTGAACACTCAATTTAGAAAATATTGAATTAGAAAACTAACTTTCATATTATGTGGTCAGGAATTTTGCTAATAAAAAATAGTTTTTGTTAATTGAAATTGAAGCTAAAATAAAATATAAATATTGAAATTGAAAAAAATGAAATGAAATAAAATATTAATATTATATTTAAATATAAATTATATTTAATATTCATATTAAATATACATATTTGATGAGAAACGTAAAAGAAAATTAGAAATGTTGTCTTGGCAACTAACTGAAATAAAATAAGTTTAAGTAAAGTACTAAAATTACTAAAACTACAATTAAAATTAAAATAAAGCTTAATCGAACACAAATAAAAAAAATAATGGCAAAAAATGACAAAAACATTAAACTACTAACTACTACTAACTAACTACAAACTACTTAACAACTAAAACTAAAAATGAAAACTGAAAACAAAAAGTCAAAGCTAATTCAAAATATTATTATAATACTGAAATATACTTAATACTAAAATAACACTAGAGAGTGCCATGGTACAGTGGTAGTATCAGATGGTAATACCATGGTATTTTAATTCATACAACTGAATTATTGCCCTATCCATATACCAAGTATTACCATGGTAAATGTAAAAAAATATCAGTAACACATTACAATAAGATAAGGAATATGTTAACATTAGTTAAAGTATTAAGGATAATTATGTAACAAAAATGTAAGTCATTATCTGGTTGAAATTACTCCTCTTAGATCCATCACACATCATGACTAAACCAGAATTAAGTCACCAGCGTTCATCTTCACATGGGTTTGAGTCTCAGTACTGTTGAGTTTCCTGCATGCCTCTTCATGCATGTGTGTTTAAGGCAGTCTTTATGGGCAAGTTTCCTTGGTAACTGTGTTTAAACGGCGCTGTTGTGGCTATAAAATGATTCTTCAACCAGTTGCATCCTGGACTGGGGTCAGACGCTGCTGTGCGAGATGAATGAGAGCAGCACACAGGCATGCATTCAGTGTGTGTTTGTATGAGTGTGTGTCTGGAATGCCCTCTTTTTGTCTTTAAATGGTAACAATCTCACACCAAGCTCTCTAAATCAAACTTAAGGATCATCCGCTGTCATCGTTTTCTATCCTTTAGCTCCTCATCTTTCTCCCTATTTTTGTTTCACCGTCTCTCTCATGCACACACATCTCTTTAGTAGACACTTCAGATGTGATGATGGGATTATATTGATCATAGCCTCAAAATAGCCCATCTTGGAAAACATCCATTCCTGCAGTCCTTAGACAGGAATGAACTGATTAGTTTCTAAACTGAAGCAGGTTTTGTTTACACATACTCAATTAAACTGTAAGTGAAGCCCATATGATCTAATGTAGTTTGTATGTGTTTGTGTACTTGTAGCCACGATACTTTCTAATTAGTATGGGAGTACCTTAGCTGTTCAAAATAGCATACATTTTATCATTATAAGCTACTTTTTTCCAATGAGTAACAGATAAAGCACTGTTTTTCCTCGTAGTATTGCACTTGTATGGAAGCTTTGAGAAAAATAAATCCTTGCAGTTATGAGTTTATATCTCACAATTCTGACTTTTTCCCCCTCAGAATCAGATGAGATATGAAGTCAGAATTGCGAGATATAAACTCAGAATTATGAGAAAAAAGTCAGACTTGTAAGATCAAGTCATAATTATTTAGTTTTATTCCATGGCAGAAACAAAAATTACTGTAAGATGTATATTTACAATTCTGAAAAGAAAAGTCAGAATTGCGAGAAATGTCAACATTTCTTTTTTATATAATTTTTTTATATGTTGCATTTTTTTTCTCAGAATTGCAAGAAAAAAATGTGAATTGTGAGATAAAAATATGCAATCACCTGCATTTACCAGCAAAATAACAGTAAATATAAAAACAGGGAATATGTAATACATAACACAACCCTAATTGAGATCCTTGTACTTTGTTTCAGAAGTTTTTCTTCTTTTTTCATCTAAAATATATTGCCCTCGTAAATAGCTTCAATGTAGCTCATTTTTCAAAGAGCAGCTTCACTTTAGTTGGAGTACTTTATGAATTATGCATCGCTTGTAGCCTAGCAAACTATAATTTTAAAAAAGTGTCTTCTTTATCACTGCTACCTGTGTGTTTTTAGGAGCTGTTGTTTAAAGGTCACAGAATTTCTATCATTTCTGATGGAAATGTGTTTGTTTCTTTTCAAGAGCTTTTCGAAACGCAGCTTTCATGAGTAACAGACTAGTCCAGCACACACACACAACAGGCAACTCTAGGATAAGTTGAAGCCCTAAACCACAGAACCAAAGCTTTTGTGTCGTGAGTGAAAGCTTGTTTCCTGAAGGGAGGAAGAGAACGTCTAGAGGCAGAAAATGGAGAATAATAGAATAAATTTAGAAGAACTCAGGAGCCTCAACCTCCTGTGAAGTATAACAGGAAGGTGTGTGTGTCTCAAAAAGTTTTTTGTCCTGATGGTGTATTGAGTGCCCTTCATGATTTCTATGGTTGTCTGCTTTCTCAGACACATCCACTCACACATATACTAACAAAAACATGGTTCAAGTCATTCATTTTATATAGTTGCAAGACTGTCTTACAAGACAGAAACTCAATGGCATACAGTAATGATTGGATTTTTCTGTCTCAATCTGATGTTTGTTTCTCTCTTCTCAGCTCCAGAAGTTCTCGCTCAGAAGCCGTACAGTAAAGCTGTGGACTGCTGGTCTATCGGCGTCATTGCCTACATCCTGTGAGTACCCACAATGCCACACTTGTCCTTTCATTTATAAGCTGAGGAATCCTTCAGCTAAGGTTGGAATGAAATCTTCAGATGAAGAAAATGTTTGCACAATGTCACTGGAGCACTGAGTAAATGACCCATCTCATCTCCTGATGAGCTACAGATGTTGTGCCCCACTTTACTCAGACTCCTTATATGGGCTTATTGTTGTGGTGCAGTTTGAGTGAGTCATTAAAACAAAAGAGAGAGTTTGTGCCTTGCAAATATTTGAGATGCTGATTAATGGAAGATTTCTGGATTTCCTCTGGTTTCTCAGCAGATGGGAATGCTTTCTTACCAATAAACACTGCGGTGTTACCATGGTACAGTGATGGTATGAGATGCTAACGTCATGGTACTGATATATAATGAATACCATGTTTTTTTACATACAGGTCACACCGAGAGATTTGTCCCCCCCCCCCCAAAAAAAACAGAAAAAAGTTGCTTTTTTTGAAAATTGTTGATTGTTTGATATGTCAGTATTTATGTATTTGCTCTGAAATCATTTCAACCAAGTAGATTAAAAATGCATAAATGTTTGAACTAAAACAGCAACATGTATATATATATATATATATTTAATTAAATATTTGTATTATAATATAAAGTTTGATATTAAAATAGTTACCTTTTTTGTAGTTTTTCACCAAATGAACAACAATCATTTTAATTTATGTGAAGCAATTAAACAATAGTGATAACCATATTTTCAAGTATTTTTCCCATATATTTTCCCAGATTTTAGTACATACATTTTAATATCTAAAAAAAGTATTACAGTACTAAGTACTAAAACAGTTTACTAAAACATGGTAAAACAAATGTATAAATAATGAATTTATGCAACCTATTTTTTATTTTTTCCCGAAAACATTTTATTAAATAAAAAAATACCACCTTCCATGAACATTTTTGAGTGATGACTCTCTCCCACAATCAGAGTTTTGAACTGATTCATTTGGAACAGACAGTTTGAACTGATTCAGGAAGAAGAATCAAACTTACCCCACTATAACTTAAAGAGTCTTAACACTCTCATACTCACAAGGCTTTAGGAAACCTTCTGGCCAAATAAAAACGTGTTAAATGATTTAAATATTCATGACTTTTCTTAAATTTAATATTGACAGCAAAATGATTGTAATCATGACTATTCAATAGCCTATTAATGGAGTATTCCTTCCACCAAAATTACATTCTCCCCAAACAAATCATTGCGATACCACTGTGGTATCTTCATTTCACCCTCTTTTTCTCCCTCTGTACATTTTCTTCCATTTCTCAGTGTGAGAATGTTCATAAGGATACTGCGTGTGTGTCATAAAAGCTGTACATTTCAAATGAGCTCTGGCCATCTGTGTGTTTATTAGCATTTCACTGTGAGTCTGAGCACAGACAAACCAACATAAAAACAAGTGCCGCATCACCTTCTCATATCTTAATCTGCGGAAGTTCTCCATGTACATCGGAGTCAATTGTCTTTTGTTTTGGTGTTTCGATCTGCTCCGTCTGCTCTGGGGCGACTCCTGCGCCAACACAAACACTCACACTGTCTGTCAACAAACTGGTGAAGCTGTCCTTCCCATCACTCCCACTCACAGCTGTCCTGATCCGAAGTATAACATGTTTATGGTTGAGTTTGTTTACAGTTTTTACTCTTGCTCAGGTTAACGCTTACTTTCTTAATTATGAAATTCATAATTTTTAACTCCCATAATGATATATAGGTCACTCTGTTCAGCCAAAAATTTTAATTTACTCACCCTTAGGTCATACAACATAATAATCCACATGACTCCAGTCCATCAGATACAGACGTACAAAACGTACAAAAACGTCTAAACACGTATGTTGGTGGATTTTGATTCAACAGGGGATGAACTTTTTATGTGGATTACTGGAGTTATGTGGATTACTTGTAGATTATTGTGATGTTTTTATCGGCTGTTTTCAGCAAATTTTCATTTTTGGGTGAACTATCCCTTTAAACAAGAAAGAAATAAAAGGCAGGACTTGATTTGATCCATTACGACACCAAATGAATTCCTTGTGTGTGTAAACACACTTGGCAAAGCTCTTTCTGATTCGGATTCTGATTAGGAAGTGATTGGATCATGAAAAGTGGTCTCTATATGACAAAGTGTTGGATTGGAGATGTTGATTTTTAAGTGAAGCAATTTATTACATTATGATTCAGTATTATCACTTTTACTGTAATAAATCTTATGAATCGTTCACAGTAAGACCAGGAATGTGTATAAAGTCAATTTAGATTTTATGTTGACTAATGGCTAATTTTGTTCATGATATGAGTGTGTGTCAAAGTTGTTTTTGTCAACTAATACCCAAAACTGTTGAAACCTGTTTTCATTAATTTCAGTAAAGCTGAAATAAACTAAAAACTTAAAAGATCTTAAATATAAAATTAAGTTTAATTAGTTGTCAACTTAATTTTAAGGTGAAGTTCTAAAATGACTCAAACAAATAATTAAAGCTAAATATTTGTAAAAGATGAATACAAGTTGACAAAATCACATAATAAAAATGCTAACACTGGAAACTGAAAATATAAAAATAAAAGCAAATTCAGAATATTAAGAAGCATAAAAGTACATAAATAATACTAAAATTAAAAAACTCTGGTGTGTTTACTGATAAGGGCCTCTGCCCACCTCTTTCTCTGAGCCAGCTGTCTGCTAGAGCTTGGAGTCAGACCTCATGGATGGCTGGCCTCCTCTCAGGTGTGATTATTGCAGTGACAACTGGCCGAAACCGTAGCTAATTCTCTTAGCGTCTGATTAGCTAACCCAACGAGAAAAGAGAAAAACACAAAGCTAATGGGGTCGAAATCAGGCAGAAAATTACCATCCTTTTCTCCCCCACTGCCTCCGTTCCCCATGAGGAAAGGTATTTTAATGGCTTTGATGATAGGAGGAGAAAAACATTCCAATAGATGTGTTGAGGAAATTTGATTTACATTGATCAGGTTTAATCCGCTGTCTTTCTTTTCCATGGGGTTTATTTACCCTTATTTACTAAGCATAACGTTTACTGTTGAATCAAGGTTTGAACTGATGTGTTTTTAGAGGATTATGGTGCTAATCTAAAGGGATTGTTCACTTGAAAATCTAGCATGATTTATTCAGGACTAATCTCCGATATGACAAAATAAGTATATAAAAGTCATTCTTATGATTATTGGGTTATATTACAAGTGTTTTGAAGCTATATGATAGCTTTGTCATATTGTACAAGTCATATGGAGAAGTTTAATAAACCTTTAATTTTTGACATTTGGGAGCTTGACAAACTACAAACTAGTACATTCTTCAGAAAGAGGAAAAAAGCCATTGGAGTGAGTAAATAATGACAAAATAGCCATTTTTCAGGTGAACTGTCCCTTTAAATGCAAGTAGCATATAAGAACTACTGATAAGTAGGGTTACATATATAAGGTTGTGGGTTCAATTTCACCCATATACTGTACTGTGAATGTGCTGAAAGTATGGAAATGATGCAATAAATGTATGTTTTCTTACAGACTGTGTGGTTACCCTCCCTTTTATGATGAGAATGACTCCAAACTCTTTGAGCAGATCCTGAAAGCGGACTATGAGTTCGATGCGCCGTACTGGGATGATATATCCGATTCAGGTATATTCACTCTGTGAAGTGTAGAAAAGAACCACACTGTGCTAATGGTGTGGTTTATAGGTGTTTAATCTGTAACACACTCACTTACTCATCTATCAGTAACTTCACATGCTGCCAGTAAGAGTGGAAAATGTTTTACAGGAAAGTCTGAGCGCCGTCTCTGGCATTCAGTAAACACCACCGGCATTAGCTCGATGAAATTCTTCCAAACTTCAAATCAAGGAACTATGAATGAATCCAAATTTTGTTGTCAGTCTTTCCACTGATAAACCCAAACTCTCAGTTTAATCTCACCAACAGGATGAATGTGGAATAGTGGAGGTTCACCGTGTACAACGCAGATATGATGCCTTGAAATGTCAATGTAGTTTAATGGTTCTAAGCTGCTGAACTGGTATGTTTTGCATTTTTTAATGTTTAACTTTTATTTTTTTTATATTTAATGTACAGCAAAAGACTTCATCAGTTGTTTGATGGAAAAGGACCCCTCAAAGCGATACACATGTGAGCAGGCCCTTCGACATCCCTGGTAAGTCAATACTGTCCTGATGAGATTCTGTGCCAACAATAAATTATTATCATTATTATTATTATTATTATTTAGAGTGAAACTATCATTTAAGCAAAAAATTATTTTCAATTAAATTAATATTAATGAATAATTATAGAGTTAAAGCAATCATTTAAATTAAATGAATTTAATAATTGAATTGTAATAAATCATTTTAAATTATAAAATAAATTTTATTATTATTATTAAATATTAAATAATAATACTTCAGTTGAATTTCCTTTATAATACAGAAATAATGTTAAAATAAATAATAATGTTACAGTTATAATAAAAGCAATAATTTTAAATGAAATAACCATTTTTATTATTGTTGATAGCAATAATAAATAATAATAAACAGTTCTTCTTACAAATAATATAGTACATTAGCTTAGCTGTAGGTGATATTGTCTAAATTATGAATTTAATAAAGATCCTTTTGTAACAGCAACAAGTAGATCTCCGCAGGTCATTGTTCTTTATGATTTACTTTTGTTTTGCTGGACGGTCATTCAGGTCCTCAAAGACACTTAAGCTGTACCAGAACACTTAAACTGTGACCTCATAAACAGCATTTAGAGACAGGGCTTTATTTGTCGTTATTAGTGCAGCATTTGATTCACATTAGATTGAGACGCTGTCTGCATCAGCCGGGGATTGCGTGTACGTTCTGAGTATCAGGCTGAATTCGCTCTCTCTATTATCATGCACCAAGACCTCTCTCAAGGGCAGGAGGAAAGCTACTGAATAAACGCTAGCCAATTAAGAGAATGCGCCTAATCTCACATTATGTATTCCAAAGCGCTAATCGGCAATTAGCACATCCTCTACAGGCACCTTTAACAAGCCCTTACCAAACACTGGAGTCTGAAAAACTGGAGATCGAAAACCATAGGGAATTTACACACTTTGGAGTAAATCAAAGTGCTTCTTGAGAGGAGAGGAGCGATGAGAGAAGAGGACATCACTGTAAGTGGAGCAGGGTGCAAAGTTTTGACTTTGTCGTTGTGCTTTTCAGGATCGCGGGAGACACCGCACTCTGCAAGAACATCCATGAGTCCGTCAGTCGACAAATGCGCAAAAACTTTGCGAAAAGCAAATGGAGAGTGAGTAGAAGTGACATTGTGAATAAGGCCAGCAACCTCATGCAAATAGAGTGAACACATTTTGAAGCACAAAATCTAGCTTGTGCAGCTAGAAGTATTTGCTTAGAGTACTGAATGTTTTGGGCCTAAGAGTCAGAATTGTCTGTTTCGTTTTTTTTTTGACCATGACTTCTCGTCTCTCCACATAACAGCAAGCCTTCAACGCCACGGCCGTGGTTCGCCACATGAGGAGATTGCAGTTGGGCAGTAGCATGGGGAGCAGCATGGACCAATCGAGCAACGCCAACCAGAACCGCATACTGAACGCCAACCAGACTCCAACCCTACCACCCAACACAACACCAAACTCCACTTCAGCCCTAACTCAAAACCACAAACCTGCTCCCAATGCAAACTGTAATGCACAGATGTATATTCACAAACCTGTCTCTCGCTCAGTGTCGTACGTTCTGAGAAAATCACGTTTCTAATGTACAAACTTCAGTCTTTGCACTTCACACGCGCAACATGGTGAATATTTAACGATGATCGGTTGTGATGCACCTTTTCCAGAAGAATCGTTTCCTGATGTTTTCCTCTTTTTATTATTTTTTTACCAACTCAGGCGTCACTTTTGCCTCTTACGATGAAAAAGCTGTGACTGACAAGTGTCTGTGCTACCCAGTGACTGTGCAGTTTTAAACTTGTCCCTTGAATGTCGACTTCTTCGCAAATTAAGAAAGAAAAAAAACCTACCGCATCGAATTATTTTTTTTAAGAATTGCGAGCATGTTAAATGCGCTTTCCGATTCAACCGATTGTTTGCGTGTATTTTCAAAAGTCCTCACCGTGTAACTATATGTATTAAGAAATGTCTATATCTATATGAATATATATTTAAAAAATGCAACTCTGATAATGCAGGCCTTGTGATCTCTGCATCTCTCACACAACCTGTCCTAAATAAAAGTTGCCCAGTGAAATGTGAATTATATACTCATATGCATGTGACAATGATGATCATATTTTGGGAGTGGCATACGAATACTAACTTTACTGTGATGTGGTCTTCTGTTGATATGGGGCTTGTATATCCAATGCCTTTGACAATCATCAGCACATATCAGAGTTTCTATTCCATGCTGAAAAGCAATGGGGAATGAATAATTGTTTTTTTCCCTTTCTTTTTCTTTCCTTTTTCCTTAAATAAATCCTGAATGATAATGATTTGTCTTTTATGGCTTGATAAGGATCCCAGTATCTTTCTGACCCATATTTAGCTTTTGAACACTATGTTTTCTGTCAGTCGTTTGGTTTGGATCCAGCGTAAATGGTCTTTCATTAGCGATCAGTCGGGCTGAACGTTGCCGGTCTCCCACCAGCTCAGAGTGCTTTCTAGTGACTCAAAACAGACTGGCAAGAGAGCATGTGAATATCATCCAGCCATGCGAGACCGCTTACGACCCCAGGCAGCTGCACTGTAAAAAATGACCGTGAATTTAACAGTAAAAGACT